TCTGGAATGGTTGGGGTTAGGGACGTGATGGCGAAACTGTGGCATGCATGCCAGAGGTGGCAGATGGAGCCCTCTCAGTGGGCATGCTCCCCATCGCCAGCTGCTCTTTACAAGCGCCAGAGCACTGTAAAACAGCCCAAAATTCACCCCAAAACAAGGCTGTTTTCGGGCCTTTTGGGGGGGCTGTTTTGGGGTAATTTTCAGGCCGTTTTTGGCCCCAAAAACAGCCTGAAAATGGCCAAAACAGGCCAAAAAAGAGGCGTGCATGCATCGGCCAGCTGCTCTTCGGTTTTCCGGTGGTCCGACGCACGCACATGCACGTGTGTTCTCATTTGGGCACTTGGTGCCAAAAAGGTTCACCATCACTGAGTTAGGGGTTAGGGTTAGGGTTGGGGTTAGAGTTAGAATTAAGATTGGGGTTTGGGTTTGGGGTGGTAGGTTTGGGTTAGGATTGGGGAAGGAAGTTTAGGGTTAGGGGTTATGGTTGAGGTTAGGGTTTGGTGTATGGGATTTGGGATTAGGGTTAGGGGTTTGGGTGGTGGGTTTGGGCTAGGATTGGGGTTGGCATTAGAATTGGGTTTGGGTTAGGGCTGAGGTTAGGGTTAGGGGTTGGGTTTGGGTTTTGGGTTTGGTTGGGGTACGGGTATTTGGGGTTACGATTGGGGGTTTGGTTTGGGGTTTGAGGCTGGGGTTAGAGTTTTGGATTGAGTTAGGGTTAGGGTTAGGCTTGGGTTTCAGTTGGGGATGGGGTTGGGGTTAGGTTTTGGGTTAGGTTTGAGGTTGGAGTTAGGGTTAGTGCTGGCATTAGAGTTTGGGGTTGAGTTAGGGTTTGGGTTAGGTTTAGAGCTAGAATTTGGGGATTAGGACTATGGGTTCGGACTTGGGGGTTAGGGCTAGAGTTTGAGATTGGGGTTAGAGTTTGGGGTTGAGTTAGGGTTGAGGGTTAGGGATTGGGTTTCAGTTGGGGATTGGGTTAGGGTTACAGGTTGGTGTCATGCCCCTGTTAGAATCTGACTCCGAGGGAGAGGAGGAACAGCCAACAGGGAGTTGGAGTGTGGCTCCAGAGGTTGTGGAGGAAACTGGGGAAGGGCACAGGTCGGCTGGGCATTCAGACCCACTGTCTCTTCATCCTAGGGCACCATCTCTTCATCCTAGGGCACGCAGGGAGGAGTGGATAAGGGAGAAATGTGAATGGCGTGGTCTACGGGGGAGGAAGTGGCCTTGAGCCCCTTCATGGGCTGCACTGTGAGGACTGCTTAAAAGGACAAACTGTGCATGGCCCAGTGCTGGAAGCAAAGTGTGAAATAATTCTAGTCTTTCAGTTCTTACCTGAGTTCTGGCGTCCTCCCCAGTGTGTGTATTTCGATATCTGTGGATGTCTTCAAGCCCTTATCCTGCCTTGTCTCATTAATTGCTTCAGTGTGGTTTGTGTTGTTTTTTCTATTCATAATTGATATGTATTTTGAGTTTGAACGGCATTTCTTCCTTTTCACAACTGTTTGTGGGGGAGTTTTTTCTCCAGTCAATGATAATTGGACCTTTGAAGCCAAGTTGAAGGAATTAAAGGGACTTCACCTGTTTTTGTGACTTTGTTGCTTTGATATCCCACCCTGGGTCATCACAGTTGGGTTTGGGTTTTGGATTGGGGTTTAGGTTTAGGGTTGGGGGGCGCAGCAGCTGCCCAGGCCAATGTGCACCCGATGCTGCCGGCATCCGCGGGTGCAGAGTTTGGGGTGGGGCCCGAACAGGTTTCAGCACCGACTCTGCTAATCAGGTCACCGTGGGAAAAGGGAAGGCCTGCCTTTGATTTCAGCACCTATTGTGGATGATGTCATGGCTCCCTCTCCCCCCCCCTCCCCCAATTTATCTTCCCTGAATCACCAGTCACAACACGTCCCTGGGATGGAGGAGCAGCCAGGAAAGGGAGGCCCTTTCTCCCTTCAGTTACTTTAACCAGCCAAAAACCACAGCCCAGGTGCCAGCAAAGTCAAGACGGTCCTCAAGTTACAACCGGGAAAGCCAAATTCACTTAAGAACCATGTAACTTACTCCACAACTGCAGTGATTCACTTAACAACTGTGGCAAGAGAGGTCATAAAATGGGACAAAAGTACAAGGACTGGTCATAAGTCACTTTTTTAGCTCCACCATAATTTTGAATTGTCACTAAATGAATGGCCGTAAGTGCAGGACTAACTGTTCCTGTTTTATTTCTTAAAACAAGGCTTAGTTTTTACTCTGCTGAAAATCTTTATCATCTTCCACATTTCTCTGATGCCTTGAAGTCGGACTTCATCCTGCCTAAGGTTTGGCCAAAGCAGAAGAAGAAAAATCAAATGTGTTTTGCACTCATTTTTCATCTGATTATTTTTGAGCTATTTCTTCCCAACTGTTGCACCTAAAAGCTAGTGGAGGAAATAGCCTATAAATATTTAAAATAAAGGGTGAGAAAAAAAAATAATATTAGCAAAAATCAGCCGTGCATGTTGCAGCCTATTCGTTGCTCTAAAAAAAGCGTGACCCTGGCACATGTACGAATTGGGCGTGCAGGCTAAAACCTGAAGGATGAGTATTAACAACTCACCCTAGAGAGGTTGTCCTGCAAGCCCCAGAAATAGGATAGTAATTTATCAGCGGTGTGGAAGTCAAGGAAGAGAGACATCCTGTGGGATGCTGCCTGGAAATACTTGCAGTTTTTAGCTTCAAGTCTAGTGCAGTGGTCGCCCACCGGCGGGCTGCAGACCACTGATGGGCCACGAGAAAATTTTGGTGGTCCACAGAGAAATGTCCCCCCCAAAGTAATTAATCCAGGCTGCGTGGGAACACAAGGCTTGCATCGCTTGCATTGGAAGCAACACGAGGTAGGGAGGGGAGGGGGGAAAGGGTGGAGGGGGGAACTTGCCCCACACGCCCCATGCGCCTGGCCTGGCCACCAGGCTGCTTCTTTCCGCTTCTTTCTTCTGCTTTTGGCTGCATGCAAGGAAAGCAGCCAAAGTCTTTCTTTCTCTCCCCCAAACTCTGCCAGAAATGAGTCTTTGGGACCCTGCAAGGCATCCTGCTTCAAGAGGCTGCACCGGCAAAGACTCATTTTTGGTGGAGTTTGGGGGAGAGAAAGAAAGACTTCTGCAGCTTCTGCTGCTTTCCTTGCATGAAGCCAAAAGTCTCTCTCTCCCACCCCACACCCCCGAGAACGGAGCTGGAGACAGTATCCTGCGATCCCAAATAAAAAACGATCGATCAGTAAGAAAACGGGGTGGGGGATTTTTCCTGCAGACTTTTTGGGGGACTTTCCCAGGGTCTCTGGTCCATGGGATTTAAAATTATGAGTTTGGTGGCCCCTGAGGTCCAAAAGGTTGGTGACCTCTGGCCTAGTGTGTGTGCTGGTTGTGTGATTCTGCTGTCCATGAGCTGGGGTGGACTTCAAAAAATGTAGCAACTGGTTCTCTGCCTGGTGGCAGGGTGGGCGTGGCCATGGTGGGCATGGCCTAATCGGCCTCCTGCACCACCCTGGCCTGGGAAGGGGGCTGTTTCCAAAGGCTTTCCTCGAACCTCCGGGGGGGGGGGGCGTGAAAATGGCCTCCCCAGGCTCCAGAGGCTTTCCAGAGACTGGAAACAGGCCTATTTCCGGCCTTCCGGAACTTCCGGGAGGCCCGTTTTTCACCCTTCTCAAGGCTCCACACTTACCTGCGATCCAAAATGGGCCACATGGGGACTCCTGGGAGGTAAGGGGAGGGGGGGCAGCCAGGGGTGGGATTTGTCGGTTCGCCAAATTGGCCATAAAATTAGCTACCAGTTCGCCTGAATCAGTGTGAACCGGTAGCAGCCCAACCCTGTCTATGAGGATTGTGGTCTCACTCATTCTGAGGCCATCGCAGGCAAGTGGGTGACTAGGTCCAGGTTCTGCGCCTGGGTCCCCAGTCCCTTGTGGGGTAATGCTACCTGCAACACCTGGGGATGGGATGTGGGGCCAAGAGAAGGGTCATATAAGGGACGGCTGAGCCCTCGGCTGCATAACGGGGGGGGGGATGAGAGTCAGCAGGGATGCTCCTTCGCCTCCCAAGGCTTTGAAACAGATGGTGGGAGATTTGTACTTTCGGACTTGTGAGATTTTGTTCACGTAGCCTTACAGTAAAGGGGGATTGGTGTATCTGGTTGTGTTTCCTGTCTGGTCAGGCTGATAAGAAATCTTGCACTGTAACGTATTGCCCTTCCATTTCCCTTTCCCCTCTCTCCCTCCCCTCCCTTCCTTATCCTTTCCCTTCCCTTCCCTTCCCTTTCATCCCCTCCCTTTTCCTTTCCCTTCCCTCCCTTCCATTTCCTTCCCCTCTCTTCCCTTCCTTCTCCTTTCCCTTCCCTTCCCTTTCCTCCCCTCCCTTTTCCTTTCCGTTCCCTCCCTTCCATTTCCTTCCCCTCTCCTCCCTTCCCTCCCTCCCTTCTCCTTTCTTTTCCCCTCCTTTCCCATCCCTCCCCTCCCTTTCCTTTTTCCTTCTATCTCCCTCCCCTCCCCTTTTCCCTTCCCTTCCCTTTAAGCTAAAAGAGGAGCAAGTTCCCCATTTCGCTTTCTTTTTCACTCTGACCTTCTCTGCTCTCCCCACAGGCTCAATGAGTCCCTCCCCAGGGGAGTGAGGATCAAAGGGGATACCTTGCTCTTCCAGAGACCCCTCAAAACCGGAGACAAAGGGGTTTACATCTGCCGAGTATCCAACAGCTTTGCAGCCAAGGAAGTGAGGGCTGTGGTGGGCATCAAAGGTAGGTTCAGGTGGCCACATCTGGAAATATCCACGGGCCTTCCTACCTTGCGTGGTTTTTATTCCCGAGAAAATCAGGCGTGAATAGGGAGAGTCCCTGTTTGTGCCGTCCCAGTAACAGCTGGATGAAGAATGTTTGAAACAGGCAGAGGTACAATTGGGCCCGTAAAATGCATTCTTCCTTCCTTGCTTGAACTCATCTGTCTTTCGGGCCTGCTTAAGGCATATGAGAGTCATATTAGTTAGAAACATAGAATCATAAAGCTGGAAGGGATCTCGGAGATCTTCTAGTCCAATCTCCTAGTCCAGCGTGGTGGCCTAGAAGGGAAGCTCTCACCTCACAATCAGGAGGCTGTGAGTTCGATCCTAGGTAGAAGCTGATATTTGGAATAGACTCTCCTGCTCAAGCAGGGGGTTGGACTAGATGACCTCCAAGGTCCCTTCCAACTCTGTTATTCTATTCCTGTGTCTTTCCTCCAGTGATTTTTGCCTTGAAAACCTCTGGTTGATGCCAGTTCATTCACCGTCTATCTCAGGACTTGTGTTTCGGATTGCAGCTAGTCTACGACTCGCAAGCATTTGTTGACCAACTGTTCAAAGTTACAACGGGACCGAAAAATGGGCCCTCACACCTACGACTGTCACTGCATCCCCATATTCACATAATCACTATTTGGCAGCTGGCATCTACAGACAGTCCTCAACTTACAACAGTTCATTTAGTGACCGTTCCAAGTTACAACGGCACTGAAAAAAGTGACATGACCATTTTTCACACTTACAACTGTTGCAGCATCCGTGATCAAAAGTCAGGCGCTTGGCAAGTGACTCCTATTTATGCTAGTCACAGTGTCCTGGGGTCACCTAATCCCCTTTTGCAACCTTCTGACCAGCAAAGGCAACGGGGAAGCCAGGTTCACTTAAAAACTGTGTGACTAACTTAAGAAATAGCAACAGCGCTTAGACTTATTTCCCGCTTCACAGTGCTTCACAGCCCTCTGTGAGAGGTGTACAGAGTCAGCCTCTTGTCCCCAACCATCTGGGTCCTCATTTTACTGGATTGTAAAAAATCAGGATTGAACTGCTGGCAGAGGGCAGAGTTT